AATTCTTCAAACACAAAATAGGCAGAAAATGAGAAGGATCATGCATGTGCAATATTGAAGAATCAAACACCCAAATTCAAGCATTGCATTCCACAAGTGAACTACATCACAACTGATGCCATCATCATGCTTTAAAGAACTCAAAAAGATAACAAAATCATGCTTAAGGTTCCAAAAAGTTGAAGTGAGCAAGCAAAGGTTTCATGCATTACACACGGAAGTTAGAAAGATGAAGATTGTACCTTGTAATGCTAATAAAAATGTATCATTTCGTGTTTATGTGCAAAATGGATGATGAAGAACAAAGGATTTATGGAGATTATGAAGAGAAGAGATGAAACGTGAGGAGGTTAATGAGTTTCGTGAGTGGGAGAGGAAGAGAAACGAAGAGGTGGAGATTAGAGTAGAGAGAAAACGAAGAGGTGGAGAGAGGGTTTTCGTTCTTTTTTTTTTTCAAAACTGATCCAAAATGTCTCCACTCTTTACTTAAAAGAAAAAATTAAACCTCATGAATTTGAGCTTGGAAATGTATTCCAGAAAAGTGGCGCTAAGGCTAGGGAGACTGGCGCTTGAGCGCTGGAAATTTCATATGCAATTGAACTAAGACAGCAACTTGGCGCCATGGCTGTGAGAGCTAGAGCTTGAGCGTTGGAGTTCTAACACATAAAGGGCTTGGCAGAGACTTGGCGCCTTAGCTGTGGATTGTGGCGCTGCAGCTGTGGAATTTCAGCATGTAATTGGACTCAAACAGAGTCTTGGCGCCATGGCTGTGAGAGCTAGGCTGTAGCTGTGAAATTTTTCATATGCAATTGCTACAACAGAAACCTAGCGCTATGGCTGTGAAGCCAGCGCTACAACTGTGGAGACTGATAAAAACACAAAAAAAATCTGGCAGAGAAGTGGCGCTAAAGCGATGAAAGTGGGGCTGCAGCTATGGAACTTTTGCACACACAAAGATGCCAACAGAGAGTTGGCGCTATAGCTTCAAAATTGGTGCTCCAGTGCAAGGACTTAGAATTGAAATTCTAAGCTGGAAACCACCTCTTGCTAAATCCTATTGAGAGTATACGTGAATATCATTCATTTCCAAGGCACAAAACTTGAGATCTTGAACATGAAAACCAAACTCATTGTACCTCACATTCTTAAACTGCCCATTACTAACATAGCATCTCTACCAACTACCAATGCCTTCACAACCAAAGATATATTTGAGTTAGTCTTAAGATTCCAACACTACAAATATACTTTACTATTATTACCTACTAAACATCAACATCAACATGAAATTAGCCATCAACAACAAACATATCAAAATCTAGACTATTACACACTAAGTATTAGAATACTCAAAAACTCAAGACCCACAAACTGCACAACCAGCAATAAGGCATCAAAAGGAATTCCAAAACATCACAAAGGATTTCACTACTATTCCACACTAGACATCAAGTTCAACATGTATTTAACCATCAAGCAACAATAATATAAACACAGCCATAACCCATCATAACACCACAAACAACATGGAATCAAACCTCCCTATGAACAAAGATATTTCACTCCACACTCCACATTATCAAAATAATCACAAACCCAACACCCAAAATAATGCAGCACCACTAAAAAGCAACAAAATAACATCCCCAAATCTTCACACACAGAACACAAACAGAACCTCAACAAGATCAGCAATGTTAACACATTCCAAAACATGCCAATCATCAAGCACATTCATTCTGAAATCAAACAACCCTATGCACAAAAACTCTTAACTACGCACTATTCAAACTAAAACTTAGAATCTAAAACAGAAATTAAAACAAGAACATGCTAATTTAGTGTCTTTAGCTTGACAATTCAGATTGTTCATGGCTCCTTCAAATGTGTGCTGGCAGTGAATCTCTCAACCTCACCACCCAAATAATGCTTGAGCCTCTGACCATTAACTAACCAAGTCCTTCCAGAGACAGGGTCTTCAAGTTCAATGGCTCCATATGATCTGACAGATTTAACTGAGAAAGGACCTGACCACTTAGATTTGAGCTTCCCAGGGAAAAGTTTCAACCTGGAATTGAACAATAATACTTGTTGGCCAGGTTGGAAGTTCCTGTTCAAAATCTTCTTATCATGGTATATCTTGGCTTTGTGCTTGTAAGACTTAGAGGACTCATAAGCTTTCAATCTCCTTTCTTCCCATTCATGCAATTGAAGCTTTCTTTTCTCCCCTGCTGCCTTCAAATCATAATTTAAGGCCTTCAAAGCCCAAAATGCTTTATGTTCCAATCCCACTGGCAGATGACAAGCTTTACCAATGACCTTTTCCATATCTTCGTTAGAGATAGGCAAAGCCTTCTCTAGTGGCGATGAGCTCTTGAAATCATTTTGAGTTTCCAAGTACGCATCATCTAATACATCAATTCTAAAGCAATCTTTGTTGCCTTTTGGAAACTTCGTTGTTTCAAATATATTGAAACTCACTTCCCCATCTTGGACCCTCACCTTCAGCTTTCCTTCATCCATGTCAATGATAACTCGAGTTGTGTTCATAAAGGATCTGCCCAATATCAAAGGAACTTCTACATCCTCTTCCATATCCATGACTACGAAATCAACCAGAAACATGAACTTATCAACCTTCACGATCATATTAAAAGTATAGGGAATAAAAGGTAATGTAAGTGATATTATAGAGACAAAATAATATTTGAACATTTTAAATTATAGAAACTAAAAAGATAAAATAAAGTGAAACTATAAAAATAAAAAGACATTTCAAGTAGTTTTTAATCTACTATATATATGCAATAGGAAATTTATAAGGATTAAAGGATCTGTCGCACATGTTTCGGCCAGTCATGTAAAAGTACAAAGGGCACACTATATCAAATGATGATCGGAGTCCTGAGATTTCTATGAACGTGTAAACCGCCCGTGTGAAGTCAATTATGATATGTGGGAAGAAGGTACACATATGATTCAAATTGGTGTTGCTACGTAAAGCATTATTAATGTGCAAAAAGAAGTTGCAGCTACTGCCGACAGGTCATTACAGAATCAATCCCATGACCGATAACAAGATGTTATCTTCAACCATTTTATGTTTGGATTAATGAGTGTAAAAGAATGAAATAGAATAACATTACCCCCGCCCTATTATTACTCAAAGGGCAAAACTATATAAAATACAATATAAGTGTTACAAATGTTACTCTCTAATCAAACTTGAAATTATATCTCCATAATTCGCATAATAAAAAATTTGATTAAATATCAATACATATTACCAAAAGTAAAATTCTAATTTCAATTAAAAAACAGTACTAAGAATACTTATTATTCTGTATCAAAGTTTCATCCTCAATTCGTTGTTGAATAGGGCAAACTGAAACTCTACTTATTTTTCCATTTTTTTCAACCGCAATTAAGGCATTTCTCTCTGCAGTAGAAATCTATGATGTTTTGACAAAGTTTAAAACTCTGAACCGATCATAGAACAAGTCCTCAGTTTGAGACTTGGACATATTTAAAATTACCCGCCCCTCTCTAAAACTTAATTTGCAAGAATTGAATCAAATCCTCCTTCACAAACTGGACGTAATTAATATCTGTATTTTTCTTTTATCTAATGTAGTAATATTCATTGAGTCCATAAATCAATTTATAGTTTCACTTCTCAAACAAGGAAATAAATGGAAACTTCCATCTTTTTCATCATAAAATATCCATATAATAATTAATACTTGAAAAACCACATTTCAATCTGAACATACTCAACCTCGTTCATTATTTTTTCATTCCAACCACAGTGAGTAATGAGTATATGCAGAGTATTTTAGCGATCAACTATGCACTATCCCTATATGGCTATTGACTAGATACAACCCAACTGAGCTATGTACTCTACCCCTGGCACAGCATCGCAAATTGCTCATTCCTAAACATAAACACAAGTTCTCATATCATTAGAAAAACTTACCTCTACAAACAAACATCAATTATTAATCAATAATTACAAAGGAAAAAGAAGAAGAAAAAAGAAAAACTAAACACGCCTATGATTATGCATATAGAATTACATATGAATGAATAATCAATCAACAGTACCTCATCGTGGATCTCTAGGGTCTAGCAAAAACACCCCAAATCTTGCCACGGCCGAGGCTCTCGGCGAGTTTCTTGGCCCCGGGAACATCCATCTCCACAAGCTTCTGCGTATATACAGAGGCCCCCGCAGCCACCATCTGCTTCCGGCAACTCTTGGAGTGCACAAGAGAAGCGAGCAACGAAACAGGGTACTTCTTATCCAACCCCTGCAACGAAGGGTTCAAGAGATGAACTGCGCTCACAACTCCTCTTTCGTCCTTCCGAAACACCTTCCGATTCGCCGGGTGCATCAGCAGCACCGACAATGCCATCGCGGAACCTTCTTTCTCCTCCACGCCCTTCCCATCCAACATCTTGATCAAACCCGAAACGCATCCCAATTCCCCCATCTCCTTCCGCGCTTTGTTACTGTTCATCCCCAACGCGTGAACCGCCCTCGCCGCCGAAACCCTAACCGCCAGCACCTCGCAACTCAACACCGCCACCACCCTCTGCACAAACCCTTCCGTCACAAGAACCTCGCCAATGGCTCCGCTACAAGCCGCCAAATGCCGCACCATATCCACCGCAACTTCCAGACTCGCAAGAGGAACACCGGAGTCCCAGTAATTCTTCAAGCACTCCACACCACCTTCCTTCACTACCGAAACCCTCAAATTCGACAAACCCTCGGAGTCCTCTGAAATCACAAGAAGGAGGGGATGATAGACCATGGGCCAAGGGCCCTGTTACCAGAGCTATGCCTAGAAGAATACAGGAAGAGTTGGACCTTGTGAAGACTAGTGGGCTTGTCAAGCCCAAGGTATTCTTCACTTGGAATGCTCTATCATGAAGAGAAGGCCTAGTTCTACTTGTGTATATTGTACAGTTTATACATAGTCTCTTGTATAGGTTATTTTGGCCTTTTGTATTTGTGAGGCACTTTATTTATTTTTTCTAGTGTTTGTATATTGTTTTTAAGGTAGGTTACTTGGAGAGTTTAACTCCATTTAACCTCCCTAGTTGATACATTCATTTTGTATTTTTTCAGTAGGGAAAAAGGGGTTGCATTTAGCAAAGCTAGGGAGTGTGTTTAGAAATTGGGCCTGAGTTGCGCCTAGGCAAAATTTTGCATATTGAACTCATTTTGCTCCTAAATTTTCATAGATTTGATTTAGCTAGATTTTTTCAGTAGGGAAAAAGGGGTGGCATTTAGCAAAGCTAGGGAGTGTGTTTAGAAATTGGGCCTGAGTTGGGCCTAGGCAAAATTTTGCATATTGGACTCATTTTGCTCCTAATTTTTCATAGATTTGATTTAGCTAGGTCTCATCATCATATGATGAACCTAACTAAACCAAATCCAGAATTTTCAAATTAAATCATGGAGCAATTTAGAACCAAGGCCGCCTAGCTCATCTTCTTCTTCCTTGGCCGAATTTCTAAGCTACACCTCTAGGTTTTTGAAGCTTGCCTTGCAAGCTTCTAAACCTTAGTAGGTTAAGCTTACCTTACCATGGTTCTTAAGTGAACCATGGTCAAGGTTAGCTTCTCCTACAAGCTTGCTAAACCGTGGGAAGTTAAGCTTACCTTACCATGGTTCCTAGTGAACCATGGTTAAGGTTAGCTTCTCCTAGAAGCTACCTCTCCCTATATATTTGTAATTACCTCTCATGTACTCACTTTTGAACATTTTGAGAATAGAAATCAGATTTCTCTCTCACTCAAGAGTCCCCAAAACCGTAGATAACTCTCTCTCTAAGGTTTCTCTCAAAGGTTCTTCTACCTTTGACTTGGTTCCTCAAGCTTCTACAACAAGCTAAGAGTAACTGAATCACTTCAAGTACTTCTACTCCATTGGAGCTTGCTTCAAGGAGTTTCGGACTTCATTCCAAGGTTTCCTCAAGAGTTTCTTCGGTCCTTGCATGGAGAACTTGAAGAATCAACATTCTTCTCCAAGTAGCTCCATCAACTTCTCTTTTGAATGAACCTCATTCAAAAAATTTAATAAATTTCGATTTACAATAAAAGAAATGGCTAGAAAAAGTGTTAGAAAGTTGATTATTAACACTTGTAACGTACGTATGATATAACTTTGGCTTGCAGAAGAAAGTTAAGGAAGTTTGTGTATGGAGATCGTAATGAATTGTCACCTCCAGAAACATGTTGATTGGCCTAGACTACAAATTATAATAACATTTTTGTTTAATGCTACAAATTATGAAAGGTATGCCGTATTGGTCTCCCTACCAAACTTTTGACCTCCACATCGCACTTGGTTCACATAGTTATGGTTATGGTTATATAATATAAAAACCTTTTCTAATTATAGCATAGAACCCTCCAATTGGGCAACACAATATAGCAGAGAAAAATGCTGTTACCGAAATGTAGGAAATGGATTGTGAAATTCATGCAAATCTTCTTCCAAATTTCTTATCCTTCTCCTTCTCCACCAGTGAAGCTGGGCAACGATGTTCTGTTTGAAATCTTGATGCACCTCCCACGTTTTAGCATTCTCAACAAACAATCCAATGACATAATCAACAGCCCACGATCCATACAAGGTATTGGACACAGACGCTTGCCCTCCCTCGCCTTCGTGGTTTTGTGTATTTCCAATGTAAGTTGACCGCGCATTGCCTTCGAATTTTGAGTTCCCTTCGAGTTAAAATATGTAAGCTTATTATGTCTTAATTAAGTAAAGAAAGGGTCACATTAGGATTTTGTAAATGACTCATTATAGAGAGAGAACAGAAACAAAACATAGAGAGAAGAGAGAAAATTTATTATTCAGTTCACATATGTACTAGGTAACAATTTTTAAATTACAATTGAAGATTCACTCACCGATGGATCAGACTAACTTTTGAATAATAAGTTTGTAGGATATGATTCTTAATAACGGTTGGATCATTGAAATGATGTTTGGGTGTGGATTGAGAGAAAAATGCTTTGTAGTAATAACACTGTTTTTGAAATTTTTCATCTTTTTTTTTTTCTTTTGTAAAAAATTGTGTTTTATTTAATTTGACTAATTGTAAGCATTCTTTGGTGTATTCATTGAAAGCTTTCGTGTAGCTTTTGTTAGTCATAGTGGAGTTGTTCTTTTGTATGTATAACTTGTAGTTTTTACCCTTATATTAAGGAGTTTTTCACATTAAAAAATTTGTATCTTGTGTGTTTAAGTTATTTATTTTTGCTTTATTTTATTGATGCATTTGGCTTATCTATTTTTTACTTACAAGAGACACAAATTTTTTAACATTGAAAACCCCTTAATATAAGAGTAAAAATCATAAGTCATCGATTCAAAGAAAAATTCAACTATCATTATCAAAAGGTACAATGAGTCGTTAATGAATACACTAAACATTGTTTATAATCAGTCAAAGTAAATCAAACATAATTGCTTCCATTTCATTATTATTGTGAAATATTTTTCTTCCATTTCAAACCTCCTTTCGGTGATACAATTATCGAAAACGAATAATCATGTATTATGTACTTGTTTTTCAAAAGTCAACATGATCCAACAACAAACAAATCTTTAATTGCAATTTAAAAATCGTTGTCCGGTGGATATGGGAACTAACAATGAATTTTCTCTCATTTCTTCTTTTTGTGTTTTGTTATTATTCTCTCTAAACAATAAGTCACTCTCACAACCTTAATCTAACTCATCCCCACTTAATTAAGTGAAACATAATAAACTTATACATTTAAATCTATTTCCCACGTAGATAGGGAGTTCAAAATCCAACAAGTCTTAACCCTCAAATATATTATTTGATTAGACAAAAGTGAGTTCCATAAGTACATACAGGTCCTCACTTGTCATACACATCACAAGGCTCCTCCAATTAGCAGAACCGAATGCTGTTAGCATTCAAAAGCAAGCGAGTATCCAAAGCCACAAGTGTTAATTATCAAGGGATCCAACAAAATTGTTAGGGTATGTTTGGATTGATGGGATAAAAAAAAGTGGAGTGGGAAGAGAAGCTTATTCATTGGTTGGTTTGTAAAAGTAAGAATGAAACATAATGGAAGAGGAGGGTAATGATCTATTCCCTTCCATCACTTAACATCATATATCTTCCCTCCCAATGTGGGGTGTAGTTAATGGAGTTAATGATTTTATTTTGTGAAATAACAATTTTGTCCTTAACAGAGAATGTCTTCTGAGCAAAGAGATCTGGTATAAAATTAACTTTGTTTATAAATCATTAATATTGTCCCAAAATTCAAAATACCAAAAGCCACTTAAAATTAAAAAAAAAAAAATTGCAAATGAAGCCACTTGCATTCTCTTCTTCCTTTTTTTTTTTAATTGATATATACAGTTATCAATTTTATTATTTGTTTGTTTTATTTTTATGCTAAAAGTTAACTAACTGGATTTTGTGGTGAAGGTTAGAAAATTCTGAATATAGAAATTTTGTGCAGTTCACTTGCTACGAAATCCAATTTTATAGAGGATAGAATGATGAATTGCCATCCCTTATGAACAATGCTCAATTTTGTTGTATCTCCTTTATACCATTTTCATTTTATAAAATACTGTTTTTCAAATTAAAAATATAAATAAATAAAATATATTAAAATAAAAATAACATAAGAAAAAGTTATATCTCGCTCCGTTCCATCCTTCTTCTAAATAACAAAATGTAATTTTTCTTTCATTCTACTATAAAACATCCAAACAACCACATAATGACATTTTATTCCATTCCCTTCCAATCTATTTCATTATATTTTGATCTATTCCATTCCATTTTCTACCATCAATCCAACATAGCCTTAGGAAATTTAAGATGTAAAGTTTTGTGGACTTTAGTTTAGGATAGGACGAGGAAGTGTTTTTTTTTTTTTTTGATTCGTCTCTGGAGTATTTACCGTTGATAACAATGACTAATCTCCTCGCTACGTTAGAAACACCTCATAGGGTGGGATAGCTGGCCCCAAGATTTAACGTGACTGCATACACATAGGTTACATGTTTGGGTATATTAAACTACAGATGTTAGAAGATTCATTGAATCAATTTAATTCGCTTGCACAGTGCTTGATATACGAAAACACCAATTATAGTCCTGTAATTTCATGAACTACATTTGAACTCTGATACAAATCATCTCATGAGCCATGACTGTATATGCGGTAACATCAAAAGCTTTTCATATAACGCTCCTTTGAAGCAATAATATTACTATAGAAACCAAATAATATTTAATTTAAATTACATGATGATATAATTTATAACATGTAAAATATTTTAAGGGATATTGCACGATACATCCCGTGATACCGACAATCTATTGCAGCGCTGCTAAGAAACTCTTAACTTTCAAGGTAAGAGGGAGATTGGAGAAGCTTTAACAAATTATAACATTTTCGCGCATGATTATCTGTTTTTACTTGCTTGACTGACAATTTGAAATTACAAACCGCTTACGATCCGTGTACCTTTAAGTCACACAATGTTATTCACCATAGTCACGAAGTTTTTTTTTTCTCTCTAATTCACGAATGCCAAAAGGCAAACTAAATATTTTGACACAACAGTCTCGACAAATATAAACTAATCCAAAGAAGAAAAAACTGCCAAATAATAAGATTCCAAAAATGATGATCATGCAGAAGGGAAATTTAATATTAGATTGTTAACTGAGAAAGCACGTAGATAGCCCTTGAACTTCATTGCATACCCTGAAACCTTTTCATGACAAGCATGCTAACCTCCAAGTAGCGCTGTGCACAGTTTGAAAGACAATTATGTTCACTGGAACTGAATTTATTCCCAGGTGTACCCGTGATGCATTTGTCCCAGCATTCGCTCGTTAGCTTTGACACCATTTCATTAACCATGGCTCTTTGCTGTTCTTCCTGCATTTGGAGGGGCATAGTTAAGAACATGTTACTTTAATAGGGCACAGGGGATAACTTTTTTATTTATGCTGAAAGAAGAAAAAGGCCTAAATGAGAAGGGAATGCCTACTTATAAGTGGTATATCCTGAAGGAGTACCATTATAACCCTCTAATAAATAACAATAACTGACTATGGTCAAACAATCAAACTTATGTATCATGATCCTCACAAAAACATCATATGAAGGATAAAAGTACAATGATTTATATCAGAATATGGCCGGAAACACTAGCAGCAAGTTTACACTTTACACACTTGTACTACCCAAATTACAAACTAAAATCATCTTGTCTATCTGTTATGAGCACAAGCCCAAGGGAGAGTCTATCCCAAAAGACTAATCCTTTAAGATTGGAGACTCCTTAGACTTATAAGCCTCACTTATTAGGTGGGACTCCCCAATGTGGGACACTTAACACTATCACTCTTATCATCTCGGTTTCCTTCTATATTTCAGAGACAATGCCTAAAGTTCTTAACTGATTATGTATTAATTCAGTTTTATTCACATCTCTGGTTTATTTGTGACCGTGTATCACTCTTGCTCATTTCACTTATTTTAAACCCCTCTCCCCGCCCCCTCTAAAATATTTAACCATAAATCTGAACTTCAAAAACATTGTCTAAAACTGTCCTCACTTTCATGTATACATATAAATATAGCAAAATTAAAAATTAAACACAACAGAACACAAGCAAATAGGTGTAGCTTATAAATGAAAAAAATAAAAAATAAAAATACTCATCTTTTGATTTGATTAGACTCTATTCGTAGAATATGATGATAGGTAAAGTTAAGAGTTGAACAACTGAAAACATAGTCAATACTAACTCACAAAATCCATAGCCACGAAAAAAAAAAATCGCCAGCAGCTGAAGTACAACCAATCACCTTTACTTCCTAAAATTCTGAAAACTGATGAATGATTAAAATTAAATAGCACTGCCATGACACCATCATCTAATGCCAAAGGCAAATCAACCCTCCACTAATCTATATACGAATGTTTGTTCATTTTGCAATTTGCATGACAATTCAGACGAACTTTCTATCAACAATAACAGAATCAACCTTCACGTGATTCATAACTAACAAGAATGAACACTTAGATTCAAAGTTAATTAAGTCCGGAAACAAGCATATCCATATGCTGAAATCAGTGTCGAAATGCACATTTTAACAGAAATAAACAGCGTGCAAAATAAGTCGAATCGAATCGAAACAGAGATCTAAGAAATCGGAATTTCATGCAAAGTTCGGCTATGCCGGAAGAAATAAACTTACAGAGTAGAATTTCTGCATTTCAGCTGAATTAAGGTCTGAGAGATCCATGGAGAGAGAAGTCTTCAATCAAATCTCACAAAAACCCTAATGCCAGAAGCGAAACCAAATGGCACTATGAAACCTAAAACTAAAACCCTTTTGTTTTGGTCCGAAACCAGGAGAAAGTAGACGGGCCAATCAAGAAGGGTTCGTTACCTGCCTCACCATTTTGAAGGCCCAATCCTAATAAATTGTGTTAACATTGGCCCACTATATCAAGCATCAATAGAAACATTTTCTCTGGGCCCCAGAGGAACACAAACAAAGACCATTCTAGGAGCAATAAAAAAATAAGGCAGATGATAGACACACCTCCACTCTCGTATAAACACACTCCCTTTTTAAAAAAAATATATAAAATGTCTAAATTACCCTTAAAAAATAAAATTCTTAAATTTACACCCCCTTCCCGTACCCCGTTCCCTGCACTTCCCTTCCCCTCATCCCACACCCCCCTTCCCCGCAATATATAATAAATAAGAGCAGCGATATATAGGTTCAATTACTGCTGCAATTCTCAACCGTGTAGGGTAAGGCCAGTGCTTCGTCGAGGTTGAGGCCTTCTCCCATTACCATGAGCTTCATGAGTTCAACGTCGGAGGAGTCGAGGGCCCGCCTCATGCAATGGATTTTCTGGTCCTCGAGGTCGAGAGCGGCATGGTGGTGGTTTGAATTAGCACTTCCATGTAAGGCAATAATAAATGGGACGGGATGGGATGGTTGTGCAGGAGAATTAAAGGACCCTTTTTTTAATTTTCTTTTGAGGAGGTTTGTTCTCTTTTCGAAAGTGGATGTTTGGGAAAATTTTCGTGCGCTTACTGTGTGCAAGACAAGACTGCATATCATGAGCTAAATTTAGAAATTCCTGAGTGTGCGTCGAAGTGCTGGAAGAACGGCAATTTGAGAAAAAAGGAGGTGTAGGGTGTGGGGGTGCGGAGAAGGGAGGGTGTGGGGTGCGGGGAAGGGAGTGTAAATTTAAGAATTTCATTTTTTTTAGGGTAATTTAGACATTTTATATATTTTTTTTAAAAAAAGGAGGTGTGTTTATATGAGAGTGGAGGTGTGTTTATCATCTGCCAAAAAATAAAGCAGTGGTCATAGTCCATAAGCCCATAAACAAGAGGGGAAGGCATCAAGACTACAAATTTTTACAAGGTAGATGATAAACACACCTCCACTCTTGTATGAACACACCTCCTTTTAAAAAAAAAAAATATAAAATGTCTAAATTATCCTTAAAAAAAAATTCCTAAATTTATATCTCCTTCTCCGTATCTCAATTTTCTGCACCTCCCTTCTCCGCACCCCACACCTCGCTTTCTCGCACCCCACACCCCATACCCCCCTTCTTTCTAAACTTCTTTCCGCTCAATGGCACACGCATTGCACCTCTGCCGTTGATCTCGCCCTCGACACCCAACTAGATACTTCGGCGTCGAACAGCTCGCATTGCTCACTCAGGTTTTCTTCTTTCCTATGTTTCATGCCTAGCTCTTCGGAATTCGTACCCCCTCTGCTTCAGTTTTTGGGATCTGTGAACTACCCCTCCAAATCCCCGGTAGAATTAGCTAGCAAGGCTAGGCACCTAATGCATGTGAGGGTCTCTTTGGCACGTATGAGTAGCAGAGCGGAGTAACGGGGCAAAACGATTCGACAGTGGATGCCGCTTGAACTAAAGGACTGAGCAATGAAAAAGGCATTTAGGCCATACCGAGGTAAAATCTCATCTTAGTCAGATCATAAGATATCCCACAAGAAGATGTTCCCGAATAGGCAGGCTGTGAGGCAACTATGGAATCCGCCTTCCCTGATTCCGATGCTGTTGAGCGGCGGCTGGTAGTGAAAGGAACTGACGATCTTGGCTTAGATGGCTTTGCTCCTGGGGAACATCATTTATCGATAGTCAAGGTACCCGAAGTTTCATGAGCAGACCATTATAAACATTCGCCGGAAAGATCCGGAAAAAATTCCCGGAATATATGAGTCAGAGTATAATGCCTAATATTTTATACTACTTCTCTTTTTACGGCCTGTGATACCGGAGCCTCAACATCCCTTGCCTAAGAGGATTGCAAACCATAGGTTGTTTCATGCAAATCTCAGCCACATCAATTTCAAAGGAGAGGTGGTGTAAATTTAGAAATTTTTTTTAAAGGTAATTTAGACATTTTATATATATTTTTTTAAAAATGAGGTGTATTTATATGAGAGTGGAGGTGTGTTTATCATCTGCCTTTTTACAATTTAGAACCTATTTTATATTTTATTACATTAATTCAAATAAATATATTTTTATAAAAATATATTATACGTTAATTTATATTTATATAACAAAATATCATATAATTTTTAAATTCTAAAAAAATATATAAATTTGATCTATTTACTACAAAATTTTAAGTATAGCTAACAAATTTCACTTATTTAATTCCTCTAAAGTGGATAACTTGCTTTAGAAGATAAATTAAATGATTTTGAAAAAAAAAATTAACTGTCAATATTATATGTATATACATAATAAACCATGAATGTGCGTGTTAGTATATTGAAAGTTGATTTTTTATTAATAATTATTTTTACTTTATTAATTTTGTCTCACTTAAGTTAAATCCTTCAAATTGTATATATTAATTGGATATTTTTGTTAAATATATATTATATAGTCCATCTACCTCATAATAACTGTAGTTTAAGATTTCTATACATAAAGATAAATGTATCATTTTTTATACAATTTTATTAAAATAGTTCACCCTTTCAATAAATGTATTACTTTAAATTGTGGTAGTTGAATAATTTATATAAAAATATATTAGAAGAAAAAAAAAATATTATATTGAAAAAGAGAACATCATTTATTTTATAACATTTTTTAAATACTAAAATTATATGTGGGATGGAGAGATTACTAAATACAACCCTAACCAATAATATTAATTTTTGTCATGAAATTTTGCAATCCTTTCTTAGATTTCCTTTTTTTTTTTTTTACAATAACTAGTTAAAACTCCAACTTAATCAAGATTTAATGCAAATTAATTAAACTTTTTTACCTTTGTGTCATTCATGATACATCTTATCTTTAATTTTCAATTACATCTATACACATATATATATATATATATATGGATAAATTGATTTATAACTGTTTTTTGTCTCTACATATTTTTTACCTTAAATATTCTTTAAATAATAAAAAAATAATATTAAAAATTAATCATCATGTAATCATTCAAATAAGTTAGTTACTTCTAGTCACTCAAATATTCAAATTTTTAATCACTCTTACTATTACACCTCAATTTTTATTTTATTTATAAATAAAATATAGAAGTATGGAATTTCTCAACCCCATTAATTAAGATAAATCAAAACAATAATGAATCATAACTAAACACTATGATTAATTAATACTAATTAAAATTAGTTGAATAAATTAAGATCGATATGTAGATCCATTATACCTACAAATACAATGCATATATATAATCAAACCTTGGAATGGTATATATATTTGGTGTTTTCCGTCATATATTATTCGAAGCTTATAGGTTTATATAATGACCGCATAGATCTCAAGAGTGATGAAGTTGTGACTGCTTGCGATCAATTACCAGAACGATGAAGTTTCTTATGCGTTAAGCATAACTTGCCTTTTCTGTTGCATTGGTAGGAGGAGATCATGCAACACATGATTAATTGGTTGGAGCCTGGAGGCTCCACGCACACAGAAGAAAAAAGAGAGTGCAAAACCAGTTGTTGAAATGAAAATTATTGTTTAAATGCATTAAGAAAGATAATAGTGAGACCCATGCTAGAACTACAAGACACCCCTTTAAAGGGTTACCACCTACAAAGTGCATTCCTTTGTTGTGCAAAGGGATTCAACCTTCCAAATATACTATAAGGACTTTTATTTTCTTTTCAATTTTCTAGCCACGGGATGAATCTTTCTAAATCTTTTGTTACCTGGAAAAAAAGGTTATTATCTCTTCAAAGCACGTACAAGTAAGCAACATCTTCTTAGTGAAGTAAAGTACCAATCTTTTGCTAACAAAAAGAAAAAAGAAAGTACCAATTAATCTTTTTCAGTGTTTGGTACAGGAAAGAACCTTTCTATCTAAATTAGTTGACTCTGTGCCTGTTGTGGTTTTGCTTTTTTTTTTTTTTTCTCAAAGATTGAGCTTTTTGATTTTCCATATTTGTTCGTCAAATTAATTAGATTCTCCGAAAGACTTTACAAACAACAAATTAAGATTATACACTCAGTAACCAAATAGTGGGTAAGAAAACTATTATAAAGGAAATGAAAAAAGGCATATCATCTTTAGAAACACCTGCAGCTGGAGACATAAAGTGTGAGTGGCTGAGTCATTTATCCACCAATAATTGAAATTCATAAATAGAAATTAAAGAATGAGGCGAGAAAGGCTAGTTAATTTAAATATCAAATCCACCAAGCCACTAGGATAACTTTAAACCTAGTAAATTAAATTCGAATTACTTGTTTTTAAGGCAAATCTAAGGTAATGGTTTATTTAGTTATTGGTTATGAAGCTTTGTGGCCCCACATGTCAAAGAAAAATAAGAAATGCTGAGTCAGTTCTACACAGATTTCTGGACATATTGTCATCAATCACATAAGAGCATCACTAACCCTCGTACTGTGCTTAATTCAAGTTCTAACACTTGGACAACTTTAGTACGAATCATAGATAAGTAATCTGGTAATAGAATAACGATAAACTTTGCCTAAAGCTGTGTGTGCTGTGTGCATGCAAGACTTTCGTATAAAAAAGGTGGCAACCTCTTGGGTGAAGTTTCGTTGATTAAAATAATGATAAAACTCTAATGATAAATTTAAAATTGAGTAAGTTAACACTATAGATGATAGATATGTTTAGGGTTTAGGGTCTAGGGTTTAGGGTTTAGGGTTAACACTATAAATTTAAAGGTTGATTCATCATTATAGAATTATTTTTTAAATTAATTATATAAATAAGTTATTTTGAAATTATTTACATTTTTGGAGTTGTTTACTATAGTGTTATTATGAGTTATAGTAACACTAGTGTCACGTGTAATTTTTTTTTTTTTAAATCATAAAAGTCATGTAATAAAAGTCGTTACAGCTGATTAGCAATTTAATTTTT